ATAGCTTTACAGCCTCTCTACACCTACAGTAAGCTATAAAATGTTCCTGTACAGTCACGAAAAGTGCAGTTCTGCACACTGTTGGAGGTCCCTATCAGACTGTCCGGTGGCAGCAGGAACCTAAATAGCTTTACAGCCTCTCTACACCTACAGTAAGCTATAAAATGTTCCTGTACAGTCACGAAAAGTGCAGTTCTGTTCACTTTTGCAGGTCCCTATCAGACTGTACGGTGACAGCAGGAACCTAAATAGCGTTACAGCCTCTCTACACTTACAGTAAGCTATAAAATGTCCCTGTACAGTCACAAAAAGTGCAGTTCTGTTCACTTTTGCAGGTCCCTATCAGCCTGTACGGTGACAGCAGGAACCTAAATAGCTTTACAGCCTCTCTACAGCTACAGTAAGCTATAATACATGTAAAGCGCGGCCGGCGCGTAAAGCTGACAACCTTACCGCCATCTCTGAGCCAACTGTCTTGATAATGTGGGACCCTCAACGCCTCACAACCCTACGCGCCTTCACGGCCTGTTACAGGGATAGCTTTACTTTGTACTTTTACTTTATATTCCTGTAGTCACGAAAAAACGTGAGCCCCTGGTGTTACATTTTCCCAAGGCATGTACATTTCATCTCTCTGTTTCTCCAAGACTGCATTGATACAATTACATTTTAAATAGTTCTTGAGACTTGTGTGGCCATCCAAGGGGGTCACACTCCACATATTAACAAGCCATGATTTGTAGCGTAGAGTGGTAGGGTGACTGACGAATTGGAAAGGATTTTAAAGGTGGTGGACTTGGTCTAATGGAGGCATTATCCCGCCGTTTCCTTCGAGGGGCCGAGGAAAACTACAAAAACCTCAGGACATACGACGTATCAGTCGAGATTCGAAACTAGCACCTCCCGAATGCGACTCTAGAGCGTTACCGCTATGCTGACCCGTTCGACGTCTCCCTATATCCGTGCCACATTCTGCCACGCCCATTTTACACGTCTAACCTGAAGCTGGAGGCAACAAACTCGTGCTAAAATTTAGATACGTTCCATGAAGTATGGCGTCACATCCCAGGAAACAGGAAATCTTCATAGCCATCGCCGTGAGAACTTCCGAGTCTTTGTTAGTATGAAATTAGTTCACAGAAAGTTGTGTTGTGAGGGCGTCAAGTGGATTAAAATAGCTCAGTACACAATCCAAGGGTAATCAACTTTCGGGTTTCATAAACGCAGGCAACTTCGTGCAGGATTGATTAAATAGTTCCAAGAAATTAGCCTGCTCCACATTATGGGGTTAAGAGAGCTTAAAAGTTTGAAACTACTTGCTTATACGGGGGGATTACAAGAATACGTGTAAGGTACAAGTGAAACTGTCCCTGTGCTTAATTAAGAACCACGTCATGAAGATGTATAGGGGAGTGAAGGTATAGTCCCACCATTCTTGACTTCTGTGGTAGATGGAGGTGAATGGTCAGGTTCAAGCCCCGGACAGGGAAATAGCCCACGGTACCCTTTTGATAGGACGTTTGGTGGACCCCAGAGCTCTGTGGGGGAGGGAAAAATCTCTTGCCGGAAATCGAACCTCGGTCGCCTATCCCATCGCCATACCGACTAGGCTGTCCCGGCGTAATTCCACCAATTGCTCCACAATCACCCTCACCTATCATCTGGGGCTGGTACAACAGGCCAGAAGTGGCCGAAGTACAAGGGACTTAGACCCACCCCACTAGCAATAAAAAGAATAGTCTATAATGGACACAGAATATACAGTGAAATGTGAGTTATTCACGGAATGTAAAAAAAATATACAGTTGTCCCTGTGCTTAACACTAAGCCATAAAGGCGTATTGGGGATTGGATGAATAGATCCACGTTTTCCTGCCCTCAGCACTAGTTGGAGGTAAGTGGTCAGCTTCACGTCCTAGCAGCTTTACCCCCGGTACCCAGTAGATAAGAAGCTGGGTGGGCCCCGTAATCCGTGCCGGCGACGTAGCCAGTCGCTATACCGACTGAGCTTCTGAACTTTATGTTTGAGGGACAGCTACTGGATTGCGCCGAGACAAGAGATTGCCATAAAATAAGATGATTATATTATATAAGCATATATGTATGTATTTTGCAAGCCAGATGTCCCATAAAACGTTACACTACACAACTTAAAGCAGAACATGTCCAAGGAATCAACCAGAGCGGTAATAAAAATAGGAGCTGCAGTACAAACAAAGCAGTGATTACTGGCTTTTTATGTGCCATTAAGCAACACAGAAGAACACAACACGGTCTGCGCGCCAAGTACTGAGAACGTCGGTTGGGGGTACTTCACGCTAAAACCACTACAGCCGAAAAGGTCGGCTCGATATTGTGAAATATGGGCCGTTTCTATGCGACGGCCGGTAAACACGTGACAACAATATAGGGGAAAATGTTTTGTATGTGGTCCGTGCCAAGCAAACGCACAGAACAATATGACGTCCACTGCTAGGCAACGAAGTTATAAACACGCGTCCTTAACAAAAGAAGGCAGTGTTTTCCGTGGTGTCCGTGAAAGAAGTTATCTTGAAGACAACTGGCGTTACGAGTCAGTTCTCGGTAGGAGATAGGCACAGGAATTTCATAGTTGAAGAAGAATTAGAAGTCGGCCTGTGAAGACTTAACGTTTGATTTAAGGAGTTTATGTGTACTGTATTGCAGTGATATCTGGGGTGTGACAGTTATAGTTCCTGTGTTAAAATCCGTCGCCAGGAAACGGATAGGGAAACCTTTGCAGAGGAATAGCCATTGTTGAGATCTGTTACCTAGCAACGACTAATGTAAGCAGATACAGAAGACTTTATTTATGTTTTAATTGGAAGAGTTATAATTAACTGTAGTTACGAGCTGTAAGTGGTCAATAAATCCAATTACCAATCTAAACCCCGTCTTTAGTCACCGATAAACGTGAAAATATTAATCGGTTAGTATAGCATTTGTGTCAACAGATGGCAGCACGTGTCACATCTTTAGAGAAATAACACATAGTCTTTTTTTTGGAATGCCTCTTAGCCATCGAGTGTGAAGTGTGAACACTAAAATACAACGCTGGTGACTGGTGTTGGAGGCCAAGCACTGAATTGTTCTAAAGAAGTAATGTTTGTTAAGTTCAGAAGTGGAAACAGTTTTCTGTATAAATATTACGCACACAAGGTCCGCAGAGCGTTCACTGCGGAACCAATGGTTTCGCTGCGTGTACACATTCGCCACGTTTGTCCTTGTATCCGAGCCTTTGTTGGCTCAATGTAAGGTAAATGAGTTTAAGTTTGCACACGTTGCACAATGGGACGATTGGAGCAAGGTTCTTCACACTTAACTGCTGGTCATTCTAAAGGACACAATCTTCTAAGAAACAACTCCTTAACCGAGTTATATCTTCCGGAATAGCACATCCTTTAATCTAGTACAAGTCTACCGACGTTTCAGAGTAACTTACTGTCTCCATTTTCAGATGGAAGATTAAGGTAATCAAGAAACTAATAAGAAGTAAACTCCAGGTAGTTGGTTGAGGCACTGTGCTACAAGACAGATGGTCGTGGGTTCGAGTCGCATTGAGGTCCTTGGGTTTTTTTAATTGGCCTAACTCACCTCCAGATAGTGCCGAGGTCAAGAAAATGTGGATCTATATACCTACTACCCCACACGCCTTCATGACGTAGCGCTTAATTAATTAAGCAGAGGGACTTTACCTTTTACCTAATCCTTCCAGCCGCATTATGGCCCTGTGGTCGACTCGACCTCCAACAGAAATGACTATCAGGAATCTTCCTGAGAGTAAAGGGCTAACATCACCGCCATCTGTGAGCCGATTTTTTTTCTCTGATAACCTCAAATGTGACTTCCTTGCTCTGCAACAACCCAAATTCTGGGTCACAGATGAAGCTCCAAACTAAATGACAGAGGATGTGATAAGGTGCTGCGTGACAGGAACATCACACACCTGAGTGGGCATTAATATATTTCATACTATTTTAATTTTATAATTATTCAAAGTGGATGTGCTTTGTAGTGCTGTATAGATTAAACAGATGTCGTAAATACGTTCCTCTTAACCTGATGATGAGCTACTGAAAGTCGAAACATGTAGTGGCAAAAGAATATATGTCAAAGATACGTATGATGGTAAAGCTGACCTGTAACAGGCCGTGGAGACCCATAGGGTTGTGAGACGTCGAGGCTCCAACATTTTCTAGACAATCGGCTCAAAGATGGCGGTGAGGTCAGCCTTACGCGCCTGCCGCAATTTACCCTCCAGGAATGTTCCTGGTACTCATTTCTGTTAGAGGCTGAGTCGACCCCAGAACCATAGTGCGGCTGGTAGTATTAGGTCAATTTAAAATTCCAGTGACCTGATCGAGAATCGAACCCGCCACCTTCCCGCTTGTAGCATAGTACCCCAACATGACGAAGTTTAAATAGTATGGATTTTCCGACGTTTCGGACATTTTTAAAGTCGAAAACAAGTGAGCAAGTAGCATGCCTGCTTGCTTACAATATTTTCAACCATGAAGATGGAGGCAATATGTTCATCCGACAAGCCATTGAAGTACTAGATTTCATGGAGTAACATCCCAGAAGATACTGTTCTCCATACACACACACACACACACATATATATATATTTTTTTTTTCATATTATGCGACAGATAATGTTAGTAATTAACACAAACAAAATGCAGAAATGAAGCAGCATAGTGAGCCACATCCACCGGGGATACAGAAAGAACAGCTTATCGCTCTACCGGCTGTCAGCGGTGTCTCGGCGATGGCACCATCACTATGCGGGAACTAGCTCTTCGTCTCAACGGGCAGTCAGACCACAGAAAAACTGGACACCGTTTAGAGAGCAAGTATAAGTATTTCTGATTAGTGAAGCGGTTAAAACGCTGTTTGAGAATGTTATTGAAACAGACGCGTCCTTCGTTAGGTGTGAAGCTGAATCAGACATATTCTGCTTAATTATCTTGGTTACTTACATCGTCGATGTCAAGTTCAGAAGACATGTCACCGGAACCAAACCCCTGAAACCAGCAACGAAACAAACAAACCCAAAATAAAAGAATGAAACAAAAAAAAACAATACAAACTACATAACAAAGTAACAAAAACAAAATTCTTATAATAAAATCAATAGTTAACACAAAACACACGGATACTTAAACTAACACACAAGAACTTGCTGTTTGTAAAGACGTCCCTGTGCTTAATTAAGCATCAGGTCATGAAGACGTATGGGGAGAGGAAGTATGGCTCCATTCAATCTCAATCTCGGAACTAGATACAGGTGAGTGGTCAGCCCCACGTTTCGACCAACATATTCCAGGAGAAGAGACGAGGAAGTTGCCTGGGTCCCACATTCGGGCTGGACGCTGCAGAGAATAGAAACGCCTATTGCACCTCCCGGGAATTGTCGGTTACTCAACCGTTACCCCAGTTACTGTACCGACTGAGCTATATCGTAGTACGGGAAGTCGGAGTTTCTCTCCCGATAGGGTCAAGAATTTTCCCTTTTCCATGTCTAAGGGGGCCACCTAGCCTCCTATCCAGTGGGTACCGGAGGTACCTTGGGGTAAAGCGGCCGGGGCGTGAAGCGTACCACTCATCTCCATCTAATGCCAACGTCAAGAAAACGTGGATTTATGCATCAATTCCTCCATACGTCTTCACGACGTAATGCTTAATTAGTTAAGTACAGGGACTTTATCGTAACATACATATAGACATGCACACATAAGTACTCACATTTGTAGGTTTATTTTATATTTGTTTTCTACGAAACAGCACGTGATATGTATAAAAAAAATACAAGCTGTGTACATTACAAAGACAGGTCGGTTAATGTCGTTCAGGGTTATAAATGCTTCTAATTAAGAGACTCGTACTAAATGCATAAGTGCTCTATAACAGGCCCAATTCAGAAAGCTCTATTTTAGAGCAGGTGGCATATGTGGTTACGTTTAAAAGAGTTACAGATCTGCACATGTTAAGGAAAGCATTCCCGACAATCTGAAAAAACCCACTATCGGCTATCCCTTCAATAGAACAAAACTTTTAGCACTGAAATATAGCAAAAAAGTCTGAAAGCACATGAATTTAAGTGAGAATTTCCAGGACATGCCAAAGAGCAGAATGCAGCGGAGACAGAAAGCTACGGTGCTACAAAAACCAAATAGTTATTCCTACAAAGAGGTCAGTGATTCCAAGTGCTGAAGGTCTTGGGGCAAAGAGCGCCGGAAATGTGACAAAGCCAGATTCTGTTCAGAGCAAAAATGGTATATGTTACTTCTTGTTACGCAAGGCAGAGAAGCACGGATATTCCGTAATGAATTTACATTTCGGTACACCCTCTTATATTAATTTGAAAATATATCCGATAGTTTAACAATTTAAAGTCCAGTGGTTACTATATATATCACCCGTTTTATAAAACTAAGGCTCTGCGGTCTGCCCACAGAGTGTATTTGTGTGTTCCGCATGGCTCTCACAATAAACAGCGACTGTTTCCCTAAACAGCATTAACCGGTTGGGCTTTGTAGCGGAGATGTAATGTCTTTCCTGTTAGGTACGGACTTAGTTTTCTGCCCACAGAGTGTATCTGTGGTTCCGTATGGTTCTCACAATAAATAGCGGCTGTTTCCCTAAACAGCATTAACCGGTTGGGCTTTGTAGCGGAGATGTAATGTCTTTCCTGTTAGGTACGGACTTAGTTTTCTGCCCACAGAGTGTATCTGTGGTTCCGTATGGTTCTCACAATAAATAGCGGCTGTTTCCCTAAACAGCATTAACCGGTTGGGCTTTGTAGCGGAGATGTAATGTCTTTCCTGTTAGGTACGGACTTAGTTTTCTGCCCACAGAGTGTATCTGTGGTTCCGTATGGTTCTCACAATAAATAGCGGCTGTTTCCCTAAACAGCATTAACCGGTTGGGCTTTGTAGCGGAGATGTAATGTCTTTCCTGTTAGGTACGGACTTAGTTTTCTGCCCACAGAGTGTATCTGTGGTTCCGTATGGTTCTCACAATAAATAGCGGCTGTTTCCCTAAACAGCATTAACCGGTTGGGCTTTGTAGCGGAGATGTAATGTCTTTCCTGTTAGGTACGGACTTAGTTTTCTGCCCACAGAGTGTATCTGTGGTTCCGTATGGTTCTCACAATAAATAGCGGCTGTTTCCCTAAACAGCATTAACCGGTTGGGCTTTGTAGCGGAGATGTAATGTTTTCTTAACTGAATCTTTACATATCATTAGTGTGGATTGCGCGTCTCAATTTGTTAAATTGTTCTGTTTCAATTACGTATCTGCCAACTCACGTACTCGGCTCTGATTCTCAAATTACATAATGACACTGTGTCCTCTATACATGTTATACATTTTGCAGTAAAAATGGGGAATGTGATAATATATAAATAATCGAAAAGAGGCGGAAAATACCAATTTCAATTTTCATATCTCAATTAAAATGTAGGCCGATCACATTGGCCGCGCCGTCTTCGCCAGCTCGAACACTGGGATCATGGGTTGGAATCCCACTCAAGGCATGGATGTCTGTTTCTTTTGTTTGTTAGGTAGCGGACTTTGGACGGGCTGATCCCCCATCCATGGAGTCCTACCGACTGTCTAAGATTAAGAAACTGAAGTGCAACGAGTAGTTTCTCCAAATGGGACAACAGAAGAAGAAGAAGAAGGAAAATTAAAATGAAGACACCGACCAAAATCACGAAGTCCTCAATTCAGCAAACAGCATGACCGATATGAGAACAGGTTCTTTCCTATGCACGAGTAAAACACTACCACTTTACCAACCTGGCCGTCCTGTTCAGAATCTCATTATCCTGTAACAAACTGAGGACTTAAGAAACTGAAGAAATATCCCGCAATTTATGAAGTCGAAAGCTTCAAAACGGCATTCATCATTAAGTGTTCAGAACTGATTCCTACCTGAGTCACATGAACCCAAGCCACAATCTCACATTCCCACAACCCCACTCATTTTTAAATTAAATTTAACCATATCCTCCAATTTATCCTCATGCACGCCAAATGTTCCTTTCCCGTCGGGTTTCCTCTAATAAAATTTGCTTGTGTATGCCAGGAATCCATGAACACAACGGGAGTGAAAGAGCTTTACATGTTATTATGTTCGGTTAAAATAAAAAGTGGACTAATAGCGTTATGTCAGTCTTGGCTTATTCCAAGCTAAGAACACGGTACAGCACGCCACTGGAAGGCCACTGTGTGTAAATATTAATGTTGATTCACCTCCCACGTTAACCTCGATTCGACGATATTTTATTGAGTTTGTTAAGTTCAGTTCCTACATTGAATTTGATGTTCTTACAGCTGTAAATATTGTGACATGTGATGCCTTGTAGTCTAGATGATGTTCAGCTATATTTCGGAAGAATATATTACCTCTATCTTCAGGGTCGAAATGAAACCCAAGAAAGCAGCAAGCAAAATTGATATTCGCTTGTTCCTTGCGTGGAGTAATGTTCGACTTTGAATTCGGTGGCAGCACGTAAGTCGGTAAACGTCTACCAGACTATTTGCAGTTACATTCAATAATATAATTTTCTCAGTCCGCACCGCGCAAGTTCTCCGAACTTAATAAATACAAGACGTTACGGGAAAACTTAATCGCCCACTTCCATCTGACATGGCACGGACGACGCGTCTAACAGTTCTTTCACTGTAGCTTGTGTATTCGTGTCCGCGGTAACGTTTTTACCAAGTCGTTGCCTAGCAACGATAGGGGGTACACACACAGGCACACAGACCGATGGGAGGGATTTATGAAGTACGCCGTTGAGATGAGCTTATGTGGCATGGTATATATACGTACCAAATGCCCGGATAGCTTTCCATCGGTGCCTCAATAGAAAATATTTTGTACCTAAAATGTCGCAATAATCACCTCCTTCCACATCCTTTCCAATTCATCACTGATATTCATTACACTATTTTACGCCACGTAACCTAAGCAGTTGAAGAGGCGTCTTTCAACAACCCAAGAATAATTACTTGTGGATAATTTTAGACGCTGTCAGTAACTATATTATATAGCGTCGAATGGTAGGAACTGTGAAAAACCATTCGTTATACCAGGATAGCCACTGTCGCGACCGGGATTCGAAGCGGGCACCCTCCTAGTACGTGTCTGGAGCGTTACGGCAACACAAACTCACTTATTTAAAGTTTTCGCTTGGCCTCGGCATTAGTTGTAGGTGAGCGGTCACATTGGATAGGAGGCTGGGTTTGCCCCAAAGCCGGTCTGGGCGAAGTGGAGAACATGAAAAGCTCGCCATTACCGAGACTCGAACTCCGACCTCTTGGCCGTCTAACCCGTAACCAGTCGCTATACCTACTGCACTATCTAACCCGCTTGGCAAGAATCAAAATTGAGGGTTCCACTATGAAAAGGATGCCGTTCCAGTTCAACAAACTTCTGGAAAACAAGAGACCATCTTCAGAAATTCATTTTAAACCATATGATGGAGTAGCCTCATTTTCAGTGTAAAAGTGTAACTAGTCTCCCGAGCCACACCGTTTCTTCACCAATACACTGGATGATATTCCATATATTGCACAGGAATGAAATAAATTTCGGGCCCGAACTGGTGGCACACTCTCCTTGCACTGAACCTATCCATTAATAATCCATGCGCGCGAGCAAATCATAACAATTCCCTTATTATCCAGCAAGAAACGTGCCTCAAAGTCTGCATGAATACCGTACATTTTGTTCAGTTTTTCAGTAATGTATAACATAGCAAATATTTTTAACGGCTTTCAATATAATTATATCTAATGTCTGTGTTTTCTTTACGGTGTTTACCTCGCCTGAGTCATCAGCATACAAGAGTGAGTGATGGTTTCTAACCGGCTGGAGTGTATACATGATCAAGCGCCGGCAGAAACTTGGCAGGGCACGAAGGCCTCAGACGCACACGTGTTCCGTACGCATAGAACTCTTATTGGGCCCGCCCGTGACACACCCCGGGCAGGAACTTGGCTGCGACTGACT